GCTCAGGCCAAATGTGGAAAGGGTGGCTTTTTTCAACCAACATACGGAGGAAAGTAAATTAAGCTCTTACACTAAAAATAAAATATACAAAAAAGCCCACCCTAAAAAGTGTTTCGTAGATTATTTCAAATATTATGTAAAAAGAATTATATCCAGAGCAGTAATTGCTGAGTTTAAGCGCATTCATTTCTTTAATAATTTCAATCCCGATATTTAGAAGTTATGTTTGCTAGCCTTTTTAAATGCATGTTTCACATTCATTGAAGTTATCAATAAAGGTTACCAAATTTGCTAAAGCTATTTCAGCGTATACCACTTTTTAACCTAAGCATCTTACAAAAACTATCCGTCACTCCTTTAACGTTGCGATGTCAGCTGTCTTTCGTGTATTTTTTTTCTGTAATTTTGAATGCGGAACAATTCAATTAAATTCTCGACAAAATTATATTTCCACTGCACGACGCGAGAAGTTTTGTTGAATATTGCCAGTGACAGTCGCAGTTGCCAAACTAAAATAGAACTAATTCCATATGCCTTGTAGCCAATTGCCAAAGAGACAGCGGAGCGGAGTGGAGGAGACTGGCAAACAGCTGTCCAACTTATGACATGAAAATAATGTGGGCGAAACAATGAATTATGCACTTGGAAATAAGTTTGGAGCCCGGCAGCGGCTAAATTGGAGCGCGCGACGATGCGGTGGCCAACAAAACCAGTTGGCAAATCACTCATAAATGGCCCAAAAACTGGGGCTCTCTGGTCATGGCTACAACTTGCAACTTGCAACCACGACCTGCACTACAAACTGCAGCTGGGAAACTTTTCGGCTGGCTGGCAAATGGTTGGCAGACAGGGGCAACAACAAAATTCGGTGCCATAAAATGTTGGCAAATGCAAAATGCGTGCATGGGTCTCATAATAATTCATAAGCAACATTTTGCGATGGCAGAGGAGCTTTTCCACTTTCCCCGCATCCGGTTTTTCTCTCCGTGAATTTGTGTGTGTGTGTGAATGTGCTGCGCGTTATATTGCACCATAAACGCGTTAAGTTGAAAGTAATGCATCAACGTTTTGCGCGTTCCCCAAAAATGCAACCGAAAATCACACTAGCCTACACAAAATTTGTATTTCACATAAGTCAAGTTCCTCTATTAATTTGGTAATCTATTTAATTAAATTCAAAATAAAAATTTCAATTTAAATTTAAAATGTGTTCTTTGCCACCATTATTCTTTCAATTAAAAAACTAAACATATCGGTTTTTCAATTGTTTAGTTGATTTCTCTTTTTCCAAATATATTTGATTAAAATAAATGTTTTAGAAAGGATTTTTTCTATAGTTAAGCCTTCAGTAAAATGATTGCAAGCAAGAACACTGCCACACGAGCAGCAACAATGCGAAGTATCTGCCTCCATATGTTGCCATCAGACAGACTGACAAGGATGGAGTGAACACAGGCAACTGTATGAGGGCACCAACGCTTTTGAAAGATGAAGAAGCAAATGAGGTTGCAATAGCGGGCGTGGAAACTGAAGCCAAATACGACCAGAGAAAATGAAGTGAAGTGCGAAACAAACAGCAGGCAGCGACTTTAAGGAGTTGCCACCGAATTGCGGATTCAGTCGTGAAAGGAACTTTATAAATTAAATAGATAAGCTCTAGACGATTGGATAGGGACATCCGAAATATTTAATAGGATTTAAAGTGGGCCACAGCGGAAACGAAGCTGTTTTAATACCTTGTACAAAGTTTTTTATAAGTATGAAAATTATATTAACTTTGAAATATTTAATGTTTCCTCAATTAAAATTAAATAATAATTGTATTATTTTCCTTTTGTTCTCAAAAGTAATATATAATGGTAAATAAATTATTCACTAATTATTTTCGTTTAAATTTCAATATGTGCTTCCTTTTGTAAGCATTAATGGTGTGTTTGTTAATGGTTGCGTAACCTTATTATAGGCAATTCCACACTAAATATTTCGACATCTCCATATTAATGCTTGTTTTGTACATGAGCACCAGTTGGAAATGAACTTTAACCTTGATAACAATTTCATGTGTTGACATTTCTGCAGTCAAAAGTGCGTGAAAACTTATTCATAATAATTTTAGCCGGCGAATGAAAGTAAAATTAAAATTGATAAGTCCATCATTATGCTCCCGCTGGTGCTATGCCCTTTCAGCTGGTGTTCTTTTTGATTTTCTTCCTTTGTATTTGCTGACACGCTACTCATGTAGGCGACATGCAGTGCCACGCCCCCTGCAGTGTTAATAAAATGCGTCAAATTTCCATAGCCAGCTTGGGGGCGTTTATGCATCAGATGTGTTATGAATTTCAATGCAACGCATGGAAAAAATATAGACCAAATTCACTCTGAAAAAATGCACTGCAAAAAAAGCGAGTGAGTGAGTGGGGCTTACTGGCATCGAGTGCGTTTTTGCGAAAGAAGAAAGTCATGGCACTCGCTCTCATTTTGAACGGCATGTAAAGTTCTTGATGCTGTCGCTGACATTTCACATTACACAAACGTATTTATGCAAATGTGCTGCGAGTCCTGCTTTCTACATGTTTGAGTCCGGCGGCTTCAGCCCTCCTCCTTGCCCAACTACTCTATGTATCTCATTCATTCGCCGAGTTTCAGGTTGAGTTGGTTTTTTGTCGATTCGCCATATTTGCATGCATTTTAAATGACTCGGATATCAATTTTGACATATCACTTGACAGCTTAAAAAGGTTTATGTATTTATACAAACGAACACGCCAAACTGACATGCCTCTCTTTCAGTCGCTCCCGCACAATGAGTGTGATGTTTTTTTCATAATAAACAAGGCGGATTTTAAATTTATTGCTTCATTAAAGCTTAATGCCCAACGGCATGAGTGTGCGTTTTTACTTTATTCATGTATCAGGTGAAATATTCAGGATCTGGCTCTCACTTTTTTCAGCTCTTGTTTTTGGTTACTTCCTCTTCTGTTTAACAATGTTTTGGCTCTGTGTTTTTGGGTCTTTAAAACATTTGAAATAGTCCCCAAACGCTTATTTCGATGGTATTGTTTTTTTAGCGGCTGCAAAATTAATCCATTTGTAATTTAAATGTTTTGTTGCCAGGCGAACATTGAATAAAATTGCCCCGAAAATGTGCCTGTTAAATGCATGTTAGGTATTCATGTTACTAAAATGTATACAATAATAGCTGAAAAAAGGAAAAATGCAACCTAAATTTGTTGATTTCTCTTTAATAAATAACGCTTAAAAATCAATTTTGAGGTGGGCTTGCTTTAAGTTCGGTCGACAAAAGCTAGGGCAAAGTTAATCATAATGCTAGGCTGAAGGAGAGGGTGGTGCGGTCAATCCATTAGTTTGGCCCACAAACTCAAGTCGAAAAGTCAGGATAAATAATTAAATTTGCTGCGTAAATAAAACTTGGAGTGGCCGCCAAAATGGCCGAGTATGAACCAGAAACTGAAAGAACCACTTGAGCAGCTTGTCTACAATGTCAAAGGCAGGCCCTTGGCGTCCTCCCTTCCGACTTTCTCAACACTCTCCACACTTTCGCCCCTTCTATCTGTCAGCTACTCCGATTGTGGAGCTGCTTTCATTTGGCATTCAGTGAAATTGCTTTTATTAGCGTATAAATCAACAGTGCAAAAATCGTAGCAAACTTCCAGCAGTCCGGCGTTTAAATTAAATTTATGCGCCATTTCGACTTGTTTACAAGTTGTTTGGCCCGAAGACGAAAGCCAAAGACAAAACGGGCTAGAAAAGGGGAGAAGAGGCAATCGTTGTGGGGCGATTCACACTTGAAAAGTGCATGAAAGGCCGAGCTTAACGACTGCTCAAAAGAATAAGGGCCCCGATACTCGCGCCATTGCCCGTTATTATGCCCTGAACATAATAATAAAACTATAAATTAAATTAACTCATAAAAATTCTGTGTGCATAAAAAGGCACCTCCAACGCCGACCGTCCGGAACCCGAATAATAACTTTGTTTTTGTTGCAGCCCGCCAAGAAGGCAAAGTGGGTGGCCATCTATCTATCTGCCTATCCGGGCCGTTGTCAGTCTCAGGCTGCTGCGTTGTCCAAAAACTGCCCGCCAGAGACCGTTCACCACTTCGTTCCGTTTCAAGGACTGAGAAAAAGTATATATCTTAAAAAAAATTACCTATAATCTTATAAAACATCATTTTAATTTTTTCATTATAAAATACTCATTTTTGCAGGGCAAATATATAATATGCATCACAGTAAATATTAAATATAATCATTTCCGGTGATTTTTGTCGGGCTTCTCATTATTGCTTAAAAATAACTATAATAAAGCACGTAGAAATTCGATTTTTTTGACTAGTAATTTTCGTTCATCACTTCAATTGGGAATTAGATAATCAACAAAATAAATACCAAAAGTTTAATATTTTTGTAAATACTTATATTCATGTTTTAGATTAAGGCACACTCAAATCGTATTAATTTTAAAAATATTGTAAAATGAAAATAGTTTGATCTGGTCTAATCATCATTTATTTTAGAATTTCGTAAAAAATGGGCTATTTCCAAGTTCTGAAAATTGCACAAAAATGTTTCAGTGATTCCACTGCCCATTCTGCACTCGGGTCTTGCTCGCATTTTATGGGGCATACATATAGGCGCTTTAGCTTGTAAGTAGCATGTAAGTCGGATGATTTAAATTCTTGTGAGCACACCAAAGCGAACGATGCTGCTGCTGCCTCCTCGGTGCGATATATAAAGCGTCAGCGCGCATATTTGATTTGATTTCATTGCCAGAACTGAGACTCCAACTGCCCAGTAGGCCATTCCATTGAAGAAGACGCGACGTGCCTGTAAATATTTATTAATGCTGTGAAACTTTCCATTTGTCTTGGATTCCGAGCTTTCTCTGAGCACGAGTATCCAATGCGATGATTCTTCAGTGGCTTTGATTTTTATTGAGCTGAGTTTGAAAATGATTATGTGGTCGGTGCCCAGCAAAAGTTTATTTTATATTTTCATAATCTATGCTGAGGGCCAAACAAACGAAATTCCATTTATTGCTTTGGCTTGATTTGAAATAGAAAATTCTCTAAATATATGTGATTAATTTGCTGAAATACGATAAGCAGTAATTTCTAGATAATAGAACAGTTTCTTGTTTGACTTGCAAATTGACTTATGTGGTAGGCATTGTTTGAAGATTACTTCTTAAGCTTTGGGCAGTAATCTTTTGATATTCTTCAAGTTGAGGCCACAGAACTTCTATTTCTCTTCCAGATCCGAAGGTTGTTTAAATAAATCGAAAATGCCTATTTGCTGATAATAATTCCACACAAATTAGCAACTACTTTTTATTCATACTTTTGCCTTGAAATCTATTTTATGACTCTTGACGTTAGTTAGATATTATATTGCTTTAAGCTTTTCTGAATCTTTCTTTTGTGCTTGTTTTCTGCTAGTCTGTACTTGAGATTTTCGATTATTAAATACTTGATGCGATTCCTTAAATGAAGCTGTATCAATTCTGTTCGCCGTTGCTCAAATAATTTCCTAGACTTTGCAATGCGCTTCTTTATCTGAACGATTTGCAAATTGTTCTTCGGCTTTCGCTTGCTGACAAAGCCGATTTCCCGCCACGGATTGTTCATTTCATTGGATTATTTAATAAGCTTACAGCTACAATTTTGTATCAATGCCAAACCAAATCATATATTGATTGCTAAATCAAAGACGAATTTAATAAACTTTAGCCATGGGGCCAAGCAAAGTGCCGTCGTCCTACAATAACAACCATGAATGCATTCAGCTGTGGAGCAAGAGGCTGTGATGATGACGTTTAAAGCAATTACAAGCGAAACCAAGCCAAAGTCCTCGCCCACCGACGCCTGCTGCACAACAATGTGCATACAAATGCAAATTGCGCCCTGGCATATGTTGCGTATACGTAACGCCAAATGCCAGTGGCAAGAGCGCCAACAACAATCCATTTTCGCATTGCGTGAACAAAATAGTTTTGTGTTGCGGTTGTTTTTAGTGGCTCAACGGGTGAAAGCGGGCTTTCGGTTGGCGGATGTGGGCCCAGGGGGTGGGAGTGGCAAGCGTTGGACAAGGACTACATCTACAACTACTGCGTTGGCAATTACTGGGCGTGTAGCAGCAGCACTCGTAAGGCAGGAGCTCAAGCCCAGCGAGGGTGAATTTCTAGAGTTGCAATTTCCAGTTTCTTTTCACTGGCTTAACAAATGCATAACCAACTGAGAACAGGCGGAACCTGCGAGTTCAGGATTACCCTAACCAGTGTTTTCATATCCAATTCTCTTACTTTTTTATTTCAAATGAGTAATAGTATAAAAACAGATGCTCTTGTTTCGTCATTAAATGCTATGTCTATATTAAAAATAGCCTTATTTGTTGTGTCTGAAATCGAAATTATTATGCAAAGACAAAAACCACATTTCAAAGTTTACCATTTTTATAATGATTTTGAAGATTGGATTTACTTTTACCTTAATATACTGATCATGATTTTATTGGGCTTGCTTAACGTGTCTTAGTATATACTTATTCACATATATATTAAAATTTTTTTGTAGGTGTCCTACTAATATAATAATACCCTATCCTAAGCTAACCCTGAGGCATTGTTAAGTTTTGTTTGGTTGATTGCTGGCTGCTTGGGTAGTGGGTTGAATTGCATACAGAGTGCAGAGCTGTTTCGCATGCTGAGCATTTAGTGACACATTTTAGTGGTTGCCGCGAGCAAATTGCAGGTGGAATCGAAAGATGTTGTCGCCAGGCCAACGGGTCGCGCATAAGTGCCGATGCTCCACCCAGGGCTTACCCACTCCCACACGCATCAAATCATGGCAAAGCAAACCAAAGTTGACTTGAATGAAATGAAAAAAAAATGTAAACACTGATAAAACTGTTTAGGTTAATCACGTTGTTATCAGTGCTCGCAACATTCTTTACTAAAAATTACCTTTGGAATGCCAAAAGAAAAATAAAGGTGCACAATTAAGTAAAATAGTAGTTTTTACCACATATTTAAAAAATATTACCGTTTATTTATTTCTGTACAAGGACATCGATTTTTTCACCAGTGAACTTTTCCAAACCCATCTCCCCCTCTCAGTCGTGTATAAATAAAGCTCCCAATATAATAGAAACAGGCTTGGGTGAGCAGAAAAGAAGGGAGAGGGCTGCCGAGGTCAAGTTCGGAATCCATTTGTGTGCATTTCAGTTTCGGTTTAAATCAAGAGCGGGACACAGATCCGGACAATCATTCAGGCTGACAGGATGTGCGCTTCACTGCGCTGATTGTGAGTCGAAAAAGGCTAACGAAATGCGAATGCCCATGCACAGAAGCTAATACATTGTGCAGGATCTGGGCATCTTAAAGCTGCTCCCCGGCCAACGCCACTCGAGGGCACTTTGCTAATTGAATTTATTCCGACGCCACTTGACAACTTCCGGCATAAAGCGACAGGACCCGCTCCTCTGTCTGGCAACAGTTGGCAAACGTGTTAATTTAACAAAAATTACAATTGCACGGCAGCCAGGCATCCTCCTTGTACGCCTCCCCTTTTTTATCCTTCATCTTGCCTTTCTGCTCATTAAGCATATGGCAACAAGGTGTAAGTATGTTTGCCACTGCTCCGTCAGGCTGTAATATTTGTTTGCAGTTCGCACAAAAAGCACAACCAAGCGAGCAGACATTTTTGCCGCCCACTCGGTCCCGCTCTCCCACTTTTAGACCAGAGACAAGCCTTTCTGCGTGTCCTTGTAGTCGGCTGTCGTCTAGGCTGCTTGCCATGACAATTTAAATGCCTGTTGTCTGCGTACATCCTATGCAAAAAAGGGGTGAGCTGGCTTGCGAAGGAGGTCTGAGAAAATAATAGCCGCTTCTAGCTGCGGTTCCCTTAGAATCATTTTCCATCTTATCAAGGGTAGCAATATGAATACATTGGACCATCTTAGTCTAGTGACAAAATATTTTAAATTACTTTGTACAAATTTTGTTTAAAATTTAACATTTTCATTATTTTAAACACATTTTTTAGCATGCCTTAAACATTTCTAATTTTTTTCACTGTTATATTGTAACGTTTGATGATGTGTAAATTGTAAATACATCTTTTTTGATCGTATTTCTAGACTACATTAGTTTGAGGCCAAGAACTACAGCTTTTGTTCATGTATTTGTTTATAAGTGATTGTTTTTACGGAACACATGACAAACAGACAATTAGTATAAAGCTGTAAAAAGTTTGTAAACAAGTCATCAATATTTTAACATTTTCTAACTGTTCTTTGAAGTTTAAATTTTACGTTCACTTTAATGAGTCATTATTTAGTCGAGTTCTTTACACCACTTATAATTGTTAATAAACAAGTTTTTTTATGTTGTATTTACACTTAAACGAATTGCATGTAATTGCAAATGTATGTGTCGTTGTTGTCGCGGCTTCGCTAGGGGTTTCCTTCTTGAATTTATGGGGAAGTGGAGTAGGTCGACAGGCAAGACGAAAGTAAAAAAGCAAAGGGTACACTTCTATTGTGCAAAAGATTACATAAATTGGGTAAGGGAAAGTGCCATTTAAATAAATAAAAAATTGAAAAGACCATTAAAAATTATCAGGGTCTTTAAAAAATGTATGACAGCCTTGTGGTTTACTGAACAAATAAGGAAACGTCTTTTTTTAAACTTTATCATATTCAATACCCACCACTTAGTAACATACTTTTATAAGGATTTTGCATCATTATTCATTACTATTAAAAGTAAGGAACGCCAAACTGTTCAGTATTTTGTGAATGTTTTTCAAAAATTGTTATAAAAAACAATTACATTTAAAAAAAAAATTTCTTGTCTTAAATTAACCTTATTTTCAGTCAATGTTTAACAATATTACTTTGAACATCAGATAAGAGCGTCGTGAAAGCGGGGAAAATCCATTTGCGGGAGGCACAAGCACCCATCCTTGCGATTGAGGCTGCTCCATTTCGTGCAACCAATTTTGTCATATCTTTTGCATGAAATGTAAGCCACTAATTAAAACTAAGTGGCGGGAGCGGGACATCGTCGAAAATATCGCGCCCATGCCGTAACCTCTATTAACCCGAGCGACGCCCAATTACACTTTCGGCTACCGTTCTCTTTTTTTTTACGCCTTCTCATCGTTTAGAGTGTGCGAAGAAAAGTGGGCGAAGGCGCGGGAAATGGCGCTGACTACCCTAGAACATTTTTGACATTTTGACAGGGCTACAAGCTTACAAGCACCGCAGGCTACAAGAGGCAACATCATCAGCAACAACAGCAACCGAAATGGCGGCACATAAGAACGCATTACGCATACTCCGCGTGGCCGGGCCAAAACAGGGGGCGGTAGTGTGTGCGAGACCCAATCCTAATTTGTAATCTAACTGTGCGCGCGGGCGTTTGCGTTAGATAGAAAGCCGTATAAGTGATGTTATAACGTGCGGAGTTTTCAGCGCTTCAAGCATTTTGACCCACCTCATTATGCTTTTTGCGGCAAACGAGAAGGTTTGGTGAGTTTCTAGTTGAAAGGCATACAAGACAGTTTATTACTAGTGTAGGGCTGGTTTACATTACCTTGCTTGTTCTTCCCAATCACAACACCCTCGCAGAGAGTATTATAGCTTATCCAAAAAATTTCAAAAATACTTTACATTACTTTAAAAGTATTTTTAAAACAGTATAACAAAAATATTAATATGTATCTTTGAATAATTGGATTAGTATATATGTTTAAATATTTAATAAAGCCAAAAATACTTTACATAACTGAATCAATATCCAAAATTAATACATGCGGGGACTTTTGATTTTAGTTATGAACATGTTAATGCTGATCTGCTGTTCACTATTAAGGGCATTCCAAAAAGACTAGTGTAGCTGAAGGCGCAGTAGTTCTGCAAGGTCCTCGAGCAGTGTCACCTTGTACCCGCCAGGCTGCCTGACAAATGGCACACGTTTTACATATGTAGTTACCTCGAAAACCCTCCTAATTTTCCACCTTGCCCCGACTGCCCCGCCCACCGCCTTTAGCTCCGTCTTCCTCACTCCGGCGGACTGTGTAAATGTTATACAAAATGCCGCAAACGTGTGCGTGGCAAATTTGTAAAGTGCAAAATTTATGCGTAAGGTGAGGGCGTTACCAAGGCGACCCCCTTTCGCTGCGGCTTTCAAATTTCAAGAGGTCTCAGGATCCCTAGCTCCGAGTCTCTCTAGCACTAGCCAGATGTCTCTTTCGCTCCGCGGATGTTCATATTCAAGTGCGAAAAGTTGCAATTTTAGGCTGCTAACCAAAAAATATAACTGTCTAGTCTGAAACCAGGGTGCGTGCATCTATGTGTGCGTGTGTGCGTTTAATTTTCTCACCAAACTAAAATGTTTTTGGTGGCACAGCAGCATCCTCCGGGTTTTCCTCGCGCACTCATGCAAATATTTGGGTTGACTCTGCCGCTTCTATGCCAACCAGCGGCGAAATGGTGGCAAAAGGTTAGCAAAATAACTTCATATGCTCACCGACGCATATTTGGATTTGGTGAAATTCATTAAAGTTTATGTTTGCCTAGATGTTGGGACAACAATAACGTCGATTGCTGACTTTTAGGGCCTGCCTTTTTGCGCTTAATGTGTTAAAACTAATTTAAATTTATTT